ATAGTCACTCAATGGACATACCTACTATTGACTAATATTCATGTTTACAGAGGCAACGCGGTTAGGTGTTGTGTAGAGCCTCAGTTTAAAATTTTAAACTGCTGTATATTGAACACCTTACTTTAAACATCACTCAAATGATTCTATAATATGATATTCAACGAAAAATCTTTCTAATAAATTTACAGGGGAAACCCTACCTTGAACGGCTTCTGGACATGGACCTTGAGAGGGACCTGGACACAGACCTACCATATCGCTTATATGGTAAAGGAGAAGGCGAAGGAGAATACCTAAGAAGGATAGATCATAAAACCAATAAGCAAAAACACAAGCAACACGAAACATAATAACTACATTAAAATTGAACGAGAATCTAACCTTGACCTCCGTGAGTACGACATCTGCAACAATGAGTAACCCAAAAAGATAAAAAAATAATAAATCAGTTGTCGCATTGGACAATGGTCAATTCGCATAAATATCAGCATCCAAGCATTGACAAGGTATTGTGTTATTTTTCAAAACAATATTTGACCCCACAAACACAAAATTACCAATTTCCACAACAACAGCCACGTTCATAAAAACCATGCAAAACTAATAAATACCAGCGTGTCCTCGCAACAAAGCTTCCTATAAACTCGAAGAATTAAATTGCCATCTAAATCTCATATTTATATTCAACTCATGTTACTTTTAACTTTCAATCAAACGAAACATCACTGATCACACACATAACTCCACAACAACTTATTACCAAATCCCTCCGAAACTAAAAAACAAACTATTAAAACTAAAAGCAGTAATATCCACAAACTCTCGAATCAATTTAAAAGTAAATAAATAGATTCAAGCATCTTGACAAATTAACAACAACTCATTCCAAAGCCGTGTGAGAAGAACAAATTCGATTGCCGCAATGGAATTCACAAAAACGATAATTGAACAATATTGAAGATGAAATTAATGAATCGTTCGCCATACATTGAAAAAACGATGAAAATTGGGCTTTACCACGGCAACGGATGAACCACGAGGACTTGCTTTATTGAAAGTAAGAGAACAATGAATATAAAATTTGTGGGTGACGAGACGAAGACAGGTGTGTTTTGAAAAGGGTGAATGTGAGGGGAAAGATGTTTATATAGAAGAAGAAACGTGAGGCTGTGGTTCTTTTGGATGCTTCTGGAGAATCGGACGCCAAAGCGGAATTAAACTCGCTTGAATTCTTCTGAGGCTTTTGGGCCATTAAGAATATGTGCCTTCAACTTTTTGCACCCCATATTTTCGTCCTTCGCTCACAATATTATTTAAATTTCCATCTTTATTCTTCTAAATTTATACCACTTAAAAAACTATTAGTTTGTTTCAATGTCACAAAATTGTGAAAGAAATGGTGGTAATAAGAGTGTTTAAGCATTATTTTTTTAACCCACGAAGAATCATTTTTCAAATACATGCTACAGTGAAAAAACTATATTACGCACTTCACAACAAGTACAATATGAAAGTTTTTAATTTTTTAATTTATTACAAAATATATCACCCCAATTTTAATTTATTGCAAGATATATATCACCCTAATTTAGATAAAAAATACCAAATGGACATAATTAAATTGGTAATACATACTAAATTTGTGAAGAGGTACTTAAAAACACAAATTTTAGAAAACTGAACTTTAAATACAAACATTAAGTATTGTTTTTATTTTTTATCTTTGTTAAATAAAGAATTAAAATTTTGATGATTTTAAGTATTTTGTATCATTAATATTATGTTTTTACTAATAAAATTGTAATATCTCTTTTTTTTTCATTCTTAAAATCTATAATTAACCCAAATTACATAACTTAAAATAAAATTTCTTTCTTATTTTATTAAAAATCTTAATTACAAACCTAAATTACATAATTTAAAATAAAATTTCTTTCATATTTTATTAAAAATCTTAATTACAAATTGATTTTATTAAAAAAAACATAGCACTGAACCATTATATAAAACATCTTCCGATATTAACCTTTCTTTGTACATCTTCCTCACCTGTATCATCATTTGTTCGTGTAAAAATATAAAAATACAATTATAACATATGCAAACCACCACATAAAAAAGTGAACTAAAATAAACAATAACGATAGTTATATATATATATATATATATATATATATAAGGAGTGAACTAAAATAAACAATAACGGTAGCTTTATATATATATATATATATATATATATCACGAGTCTAATAAATAAATAAATAGAGTATCTCATAGGATTATTTAACTCAATTTTTTTCAACACTTAATTTTTATTCAATTCTCTTGTTCACTATCACATTCATTTATATTATAAATTTCGAAACTCTTCTTTTGTGTTTTCTAACTCAATGTTTTCTCATAACGAGATAATAACTATGCATTTAAGAGCCTGTACCTTATCTCAAAGACATTTTGATCATATCTAAAACATTTTGACGTCTATAATGAAGTCAAGTAAAATTGTTTCTAGACCACAAGTTTATAGTAATGTACTATAGTAATGTACTCCTACTCCTTAGCTTGATTTTTGTCCCTACATAGTGTTTTCAATCAATAATTTAATATATGTTTCATAAATAAATTATTGAGTTAAATATGTTTTTAGTCCCTAAACTATATACACATCTTGGTTTTCGTCCTTCTTTCAAAGTAAGGTACAATTTGGTCCTCATTCTTTTCGAAACGTTCGTTTTAGTCCTCGGAATTTTGATTTTAGTCTTCATTTGTTGCTAAATAAGGACCAAAATTTTAAACAGTGTTTAGTTTTCGAGAACTAGAACGAACGTTTTGAAAAGAATGAGGACCAAATTGTACCTTACTTTGAAAGAGGGACGAAAACCAGAAACGGCCAATAGTTTAGGGACTAAAAACATATTTAACCCTAAATTATTCTCTTTATAAAATAATCACTTTATTACTACTAATTATTTTATTGTCTTAATTATATGTTATTTTATTCAAAAAGTCATTGAAATTATTGTAGGAATGTTAAGTTCAAAATAACTAAAAATTGAATGGTAGAAAAACATTGAACAATAATACAAAATGATATGCTCTGACATTGTTTGAAAGTAAACAACGAACAACACATTGGTCAAACATCATAAAAAGATAAATGATAATAAAAAGGCTAATATACATAAAAAAAATGTCACACCTAAAGTGTGGTTGTATTTAATAGATGAGTTACAAAATATTGCCTTAACCCTTCATTATATATGGGAAATAGACATACTCAAACATTTCCTAATCACTAAAGATTGGGTAAAAATTTTAAGAGTGATGATCAATTATTTTACTGGATAGTTAGAGGCAAAGCCAATTATCACTACATTACAAATGTAAAAGCTTTTTTTTTTTAAATAACATTGTATTGTATGTATACATGATTTATCATGCTTTCTTGTCATCGATAATAGTTTACAACTCATTAACAAAAACTCCAAAAAATTTATGGAGCAGATATAGAACATTGGGTCCCTTAAAAAAAGAGCATTCACATACTAACAATCTAACTGAAGTGGTAAACAAAGTTACATTGAATAAGTTAAAGAAAAAGCTTGGTTAATCCAAAGGCTTATGGACTCATGAAAATTTAAGTATATTATATGCATACTATTACACTTATCAGGGAAAAAAAACACCTTTTTGACTCATACGGAGCATCTACTATGATCCCTAATGAGCCTGAAGAAGTTTTACGGGAGAAGAAAGCTTTTATTCGAAGTTTATAATAATAACAAATTAAGAGTTCATCTTAACCTTGTATACTAGGTAAAAGAAAAGACCCGAGTAAGGGATTGGGCTCTAAAGAACCGAGCAACACGACAATACAATACACACATCAAGAAAATATAAGTATGGAGGCAAATTGGTCTAAAACTAGGATGACCCTCATTGATGAAAAATATGTATATTAGATCGGTTCTAGAGTACATATTTGATTGGTTTTGCAACCGATCTAATATGTGTTGATATAATATGTTGAAAACAAATTAGATCGATTATGAAACAATCGATCTAATAACTTAAAGACAAAAACCAAGAATTACACCAGACACAAATAGTTAATTATTCAATAAAAGATCTCCAAAATCCAATATCTCACAATAGGAATAAACCTAACAAATCACACCCTAAAATTTTAACAACTGAACAAAAAAACCAATTAAAGAACAAAAAAAGGTTGAAGTGAAAAAGTCAATGCATGGAATCGACCACATTTGAGAAAATTAAGGAAAAGAAATTGTGAAGCAAAACAATACCTTCATAAAACTATCAATAAAAATTGAGGTCCTGGAAGCAAACGAACTTATAAAGGAAGATTGAGAAATTGGAATTGGGCAAAAGAGAAAACACTACCCATTTGACAAAGGCACTACGACAATGATGATTAGGAGTGACCTCAAGACAATAAGTTTGTTGAACAACGACGCATCAACAATAGGGCACGATAACAAGAGTAGTGAGTGTTTGAAAAAGAATATATATGATAAATACTTAGAGGTTTAAAAAGGCCTTATAAGCTTAAATTGAAATATGTTCGAGAACTACTTAAAAGCATCACAACAACTCAATTGAAATATATCCAATAACTACTTAAAAACATCACAATAACTAGGATTAAAATACATAAAACAAAGTACTTAAGAGCGTTTAAAAGCACCAATACTTAAAAGCATCACAACAACTCAATTGAAATATATCCAATAACTACTTAAAAACATCACAATAACTAGGATTAAAATACATAAAACAAAGTACTTAAGAGCGTTTAAAAGCACCAATACTTAAAAGCATCACAACAACTCAATTGAAATATATCCAATAACTACTTAAAAACATCACAATAACTAGGATTAAAATACATAAAACAAAGTACTTAAGAGCGTTTAAAAGCACCAATANAGGTTGATGGTTTGATTTGATATTTCCTTATTTCAGCCTGATTATCTATTGAAAATATCTTTGAAGATTGAGACGATGGATACTAAACCCCAAGGCACCACCAGGACTAACCCACCAAATCAAGGTGGTTAACATGAAATAGTTTCCAGTTCAGATTAAGTTAATTAGGACTCTATTGTGTGATTTTTTCACTCAAATACACATGGTACGGTACAGTTGTTGGGTCATTTGGTTTTCGAGTTACTTTTTATTTTTTTTTAAATGAAAAAGTAAAAGGTAGAAGTTCAGTTCAGAATTATTTTTTTCGATCGGATGTCAGAATTTGGCTTTCAGAATTAACAATATTTTATTCAAGAAATTTTTTGATTCATGTATGCTATTTAAGTTAAAAGATCTGGTGTCATTATCATTTTATTTTTGTTTGGTGTTACATACGGATGTCAGAAGACTTTAGTGCTTACAATTAAAAAGCTTTTGCCTCCATTTGCAGTCACCAACATTAAAGTTGAAGCTAAACAGTCAGAAATGCAACGTGTAATAGTGCCCATGCCATTGCCGAAAAAATCCCTAAAGCGCCACCACCATCAGGTCCGTTTTCTAATGTTGGATTTATTGTCTCTTTCCTTTGAATCATTCTTTGAAAAAATTGGAATTGTGTTGTTGTTGGCCTTTTCAATTAATTACTATACCATCCATATTTTTATTTGTTATAAAATTAATGTATTTGCATGCATAATATGTTTAAACATGTTGGAGTGACATTATAAGTCGTATAAGCTTCTCCATTGAGGAAAAAATTATTTGATCTTATTTTCCTAATATTTTATACATTTATATTTATTTTTTGCATCTTCTTTGGGAATCCTATTTGACAATAATGCTATGGTGTTGGTGTTTCTGTTTATAAAAATTAGATGTATAACGATAATGGGAGACCTAATCAAGGTACTGAAGGCAATAGTAATTGGAGAGATGGACTGCATCCAGAGACACGCCAAATGAACATCAACACGATGTAAGATTCAGTTTTAATAATGTCTATCAGTTGTAATTTTTTTACTTTTTTTTTTCTTCAATAAACTTTTTAATCACCCTTTTAGTTTTTAGAATTATTCTAAAATTATCTTTTTGACTTGTTATTAAATTTAATTCTATTATCATTTATTTCATTAATTTAAATGAATCATTTGTATCTTGTTACGAATTTTAATTTCTCTCTCTAGTTTTTTAAAAATCGGTGAATTTTCAATTTAAGTTTTTTAATGAGATGAGGTTGTTCTTTTTATTCATTTTTAATCATTCAATCATCATATTTATACGGAGAGACTATCAAAGCTATAAAACCAATCCCTGCTGCTTGAGATATCAGTTCCACTATATACGATATGTCTATGATTTCAATAAGCTTATAACATTTTAGGATTGTTTATTGACTTTGTGTTTTCTATAATTTGTATTATTTTGCTATTACATTGTTTTTCTTCATTTTCTATAGGGTTGACTCATTAGAGAAACATCTTCCTGATTCTGGTCAAGATGTATTGCCAGAACTTCATATGATTGCTCAAAGGTTTGAAAAGAAAATTTTTAATGCTGCAACAAGCTGGGTACGTATTTGATTTTAGATTTACAAATTTGTGATTATGTTTACAAACAAATACAATATGAAAGATTGATGGTTTAATGTGATATTCCCTTATTTCAGCCTGATTATCTACTGAAAATATATTTAAAGATGCATTCGATAGAGACTGGATGCCAGTGCACCAAGGCCAACGTACCAAATCAAGGTGGTTCTGGAAGTATCTAACTCGAAGTTGTTTCTAGATCAGATTATATTATTAAGACTCTATTGTGTGATCTTTTCACCCAAATAATACACATAGATGCAAAAATTACTTAAGCAGCATACTATTCTAAATATTTACACATATGATACAATTTTTGGCTCAGTCCGTAGTCAAGTTACTTTTTTAAAATATTTTCTTTTCCAAAAAATTAGTCCTCCTTTTTTTAAATGAAAAAGAAAAAAAGTAGAAGCCCAGTTCAAAATTTTATTTTTATATTTTTTCAATCACATGTCAGAATTGAGCTTTCAAGAAACCAAGAAAGAAGAAAATAAAAAATAAGTAAAGTAACCTCAAATGAATGTAAAATATTTAGGTGCGTCAAAAACTCTTCTTTTGTTTTTGTTTGGTGTTACATATGTTATTGGATTTCAGAAGACTTGGTACTTATAATTATTTTGCCTCCATTTGCAGTCACCTACATTAAAGTTGAAGCTCAGCAGTCAGACACGCAAAGTGTAATAGTGCCCACGCCATCCCCAAAAATATCCCTAAAGCGCCACCAACATCAGGTTCCGTTTTCTAATGTTGGATTAATCGTCTTTCTTTCCTTATTATAACGGTTTAATCGAAAGAGCTAGTGAAAAGAGGGTGTGTTTCCTTTGAATCATTCTTTGAAGGGAATCACAACAAGACATCATCGCAAAATGTGGTGAAAAACGAATTAAGATGAGGAAACACTCTATGTAATTTTGGAATTTTGTTGTTATTGGCTTTTTTACAATTAATTACTATACCATCCATATTTGTATTCGTTATAAAATTAATGTTTTTGCATGCATTATAAGTTTAAAGATGTTGGATTGACATTATAAGTCGTATGAGCCTATCTTTTTGCATGCATTATAGGTTTAAACATGTTGGATTGATATTATAAGTCGTATAAGTCTATGTCCTTCGTCCATTGAAGAAACTTGATCTTATTTTCCTAATGTTTCATACATTTATATTTTTCTTTTGCACCTTCTTTGGGAATCCGATTTGACAAGAATAGTTGGTGTTGGTGTTGGTGTTTAGATGGATAACGATAAGGGGAGACGTAATCAAGGTACTGAAGCCAATAGTCATTGGAGAGATGAACTGCACCCAGAGACACGACAAATATATGTCAACAAGATGTAAGATTCAGTTTTAATATTGTCTATCATTTGTAATTTTTTTTCTTTTTTTTTCTCAACAGAAGTAAATCAATGATTCCATAGATGGTCAACATTTTCATGAGAACTCTGGTCTTCTTTTCGAATGATAAATGAATGTATATAGAACATTGACTGACAACTTTATATCGTGTAAACATGTTTTCAAATTTAGTTTAAAACTAATATTTGATGAAAAATAGCTTCATTGTTTTTAATGTCATGATAAAAGTGTAGGAATGAGGTTTAGCATGTCAGCAACATGCTAATTACACATGCTAATTGACGTGTTAGTGGGACAATTTTGTTAAAACCATTTGCACCTTGTAAGATGGTATCATTTTACATGTCCAGGATACTGGGCAAGCTGAACTTATTGAGGGTGAGATCAGTCTGATATTGTGATTTACCATGCTCAATCATGGGATCGTCATCAGAGTGCACCCAAAATGATCCTTTCTTTATCCTACTGTCAAATGTTTCTTGCTATTCACTGCCTTATCCCCTTTGAAAATCACTGAATTGTATCATTGAATTTCCACCTTATACATATTTTCTCCTCATAGACAATTTGTGGCAGATGGATATTTAGTGGAAACTATAGTACTATTGGTAGAACTTTTCTCTTATATTTTTTATACAGTTCATATATGGAAAGGAAGCTTAAATTTATATGAAGCAAGATAACTACGGGAGTTGAATCTATATATTCTTGCCTTAAAACTTGGAAACAATTCTTAAGAGGCTTGAATGAATGATTCTAATCATAAGAATAGGAGCAAGTGTAGGATCTAGAATTCAAGTTAGCATAATCTAATCTTTAGGAAGAGCATAACTATGGACGGAAATCGATTAGAATATTATTGAACCGAAAATTATACAGCATAAGAACATGAACACAAATTAAAAGATAAAAGTTGGAGAGTAGTTAGATGATGGAAGAAGCAAGGCCCGCCACTTGAATTTGAAGTTCCACTTTCATCTTCAAGATAAGCACTAAGGAATAATAACCACTTGGACTTCTAGAAATCAAGATAAAACTCATTAATGAGAATTACTCTCACAAGTGTTTGCTTCAAATTCTCTCAGTTTTTCATATATTTCAAAAGTCATTTACAAAGTAAGGGAACTACTATATATAGCCACCCATGCTAGCCTTGGCCAAAAATACTGCAGAAAAATGAGAGAAAATTAAAAATAAAAAATAAAAAATACTATAAGTTTTCTATCACTTGTATTATTTAGTTATTAAATCGCTTTTCTTCATTTTCTATAGAATGGAGATTTTAAAAAGACATCTTCCTCTTTTTGATCAAGAAAGATTCCATGAACTTCAGAAGATTGCTCAAAGGTTTGAAGAAAATATTTTTATTGCTGCAACAAGCCAGGTACGTATTTGATTATAGATTTATAAATTTGTGATTATGTTTACAATTATATTCCATTTGAAAGATTGATGGTTTAATGTGATATTCTCTTATTTCAGTCTGATTATCTAAAAAAAATATCTTTGAAGATGCTTACCAATGAGACTAAACCCCAGGGCAGCATGGCCAACGCATCATGGTTCTAGGAGTATCTAGTTTAGCTTAAGTTACTAAGACTGAATTGTGTGCTTTTTTCACTCAAATAATACACATGGACACAGATTGCTTAAACAATACTATTCCAAAATATTTACACATATGCTACTGTTTATTTTTTAAGTAGTAAAACTATGCTTATTTTTAGTAATTTTTATTTCAAGAAATGTTTTCCTCCTTTTTTTAAATGAAAACGAAAAAAAAAAACAGTTCATAATTAAATTTTAAGGAACCAAATTCTATTTTTCTTTTACTAGTTTCTTTTTAATCACACTTGAGAATTCAATTTCAAAGGAACTAAATTTTAACATGAAAAAAGAAACTTGTATTCTTTATATAAATATTTGGCACAATATGTTTAGGTAATTTTAGATTCATATGTGTCATTAGGGAAAAAAGAAGTCGTATTCTGTCCTTACCGGGAGAAGGCAAACAAGAATAAATAATCAGTCAAACCAAATACAGAAGTAAATTTGATAAATTGCAACACTAAAAGAAACTCTATAAATAAGTCAAAGCGATCCTGTATCACCATCAATTCATTATTATTGACGTTTCTTCTAACTAAAATTGTTTTTTGGATTGGACAATTATATAAAAATATATTTATTTTTTATGGTAAATTACATAAAAAAACACAGCACACAAATATATATATATATATATATATATATATATATATATATTGAAAAACACATATTAAGTAAATATAAAAATAATTCCCTTTATTAGTTATAATTACTTTTAGCAATCCTATTTCATGTAAGTTTAATCAGAGATATTTTAACATAATAGAAAATAAATTAGTCTTTTCTGTGTGACATAAACTTATTAAGAATGGACTCAAGCTAATAAAGTTGTGATTGATAGTATGCAAATATGACATATTTTAACCTACTATAGAAACAACTACACTAACTTAAAACAAATGATTTTGCGAGGACCACCATGTCCCTGGTGAAATCAAACCAGACATCAAACAAGGAAAATAAATGTTAGATCCTCTATTATTCAATAGAATGCGTCCAAAATTTTACAAATACAAAATGTGTTCAACAGTTGCAAAAATAAATATGATCAAACTTTACTATCTAAACAATTACCAAAATTGTTAATCACAAAAATATGAAAGTTTAAACAAATATTTTTATCTAATAATATATTGGCGTTTTTTTTAATTGACATGTAAAAATTCCACATGTTGTTGAATTGTTTTATTGGGTACATGTAAATGTTTTTAAGATATATTTTTCTAATACAATACTCTTTACATTTCTCATACATATTTTATTCACACTTTAACTTTTTGAAACTCTTGGGATGCAATTTTTTTTTAAAGACACGGAGACTTAAATTATATCATGATAATATACTTCAATAAAAATGTTCTAAAATACCTAAATCTCAATATTATGGTTATTATCATAATCATATTTACATAACTATGTAAATTTTTATTGATTTATTTAGGAAATTCATATGAGAGACTTTATATTAAGGAGATACGAGTTAAACTCGTTGACACTATTTTTACTCAATCTCACACGACAATATGTTTTTAAGTCTTATTATTATTATTTTTTTACATTGTTTATCTTCTCATTTGTATATAATGTGACATTGATTCAAACTCTTTATTCATAACAATCTTCTTCATTTTCAATTGATGCACTTTTTATTAAATGAAAACATTTATAATCACAATTACATTATTTGGTAACTTTTACTTAGTGTTTGTTCGGAATTTAAATGTGTGTTTAAATTTTACTTTAAATAAACCCTAAAAGAAAATCCATAAACTTGTTATCTTAATGTTTCAGCTTGAAAATGAATTTAATTTTATGCAAGTTAGACTTATATCACACTCATATAATTAAACCCTTCTTTAAAGAAAAAACATCACTGTTATGTATCTTAATGAGACATGTTTTAAACCTTCAACTATTTTTTTTTTAATGAACCTCATGTCAAATGATTATGGTTAGAGATGATTATATAAAAAGTGTATGAAATGCTACATCTTATACAATATTTTTCTTCATTAATACATTTTTTATCATAATTTTGAGACATCTTACTATACTGTAATTACTATAAAATCGAATACTCATACAACCTTAACTATATAATTTCTTTAATAGAATGAAACAAAAACAAATCTCAAATTAAAATTCTAATTTATTAATTACTCAATCAAATATTTTATTAGGTATTGAAACTATACATATTAAAAAAAATATTCTTGTTTAATTCTAATATAAATATTCTCCAAATTTATTCTAGATTTTTTTTTCTTGTTTATCTTTCAATAGTGTACATGAAATCTTCTTTCTATCTATTTCTTTATGTTTGTATTATTTTTCCAATGGATTTCCTCTTTATATTCTTAAAATCCCCCATAAAAAATACCAATAAAAGAAAAACAAAAATACTTTACTTGCATATCGCACTTTCACTTGATGCTTATGGTAATTCAACCTTTTCATACATACCCCATCCAAAACCCGCGAAAATCAAAGCCTTATTTCTTTCTCAAATCAAAACTCACCCAAGGAGAATGAAGAGCCAGTGAGTGAGCATAGCAAAAGGCGTGCTATAAAATAGAGCGTGTACACACAGTGGCGCTCCCATGGATCCGATCTATGCAGCCAACGAGCTCGCTTTCCGGGTCGGATTTTCCGGCCACAGTGGTCACCTCAGACTGGAGCCGCTCACCACGCCGGAGCGCCACAACCCGCTCCGTTCCATTCCCGATTATATTCCGGTCAGTCACTGCGTCGTTGACCTTTACGTTCTCTCCGTTTACTCTATTTTCTCACTCTCTAGGTTTTTCTGCTGCCGCATGCTACGTGTCGCTAATGCTTGAATTACTACCTAATCTTTATAATTATCTTCTGTTGATTTCTTTATCTGTAATTATTCGTGGTATTTTCTTAATCAGCTTATTCAGTGATATGTTCTACTATATATTGTCAATTTTGTATATGTACCAGATTTTCCTTTTCCATGGCGTAGTGTACCGAGTGAAAGTAACAGATATGGATTCGTATGGTAGGTTTTACACCAGGAATTGATTCTCCACACCGAACTGGTTTCAACGTTTAATTTGTGACTGAGAGTAATTGGATACACGTTCTAATCTCACTGTTATGATTAAACTTCAATTATTCAAAATCATTTTTATTGAAATCAATTGTTTGTAACTTTGAAAAAAGGGCACTAAAGTGTTTGGTTTACAAAACCCTGAAAATATGTTTGGAAGTGTGTCATGGAATGAAAAGAAAAGGAGAGCAAGTTGTTTTGTTTTTCAATTGAGACATGTTTTTCATATAGACAGATGATTTGGACATTATGGTGTTTGGTATTGTGCCTACTAACAGGGACTCATGTCAAGGTGGAAGCAAAACATCGTAGGCAGAAAATGCTGAAAAAAGTGCGTATTTGAAGTAAATGCGAACACATTAAATCTATGCTAGTTTATAGTTTTATTTATTTTAGTTTAAGAAACTATAAAACTGGAGAGTATTCATAGAAATGAAATTTTTTCCTCCGTTATCCTCCCTCCCCTTTCCCTCCAAATTCCTATTTTCAAGCATACGTAAAGAGTACTAAAGACTAACAACTTGTCTTTTTATTAACGTTGTACCTTACCAAACTGGCATCACAATGAGCACGTTAGATCCCTGGGTTTTAGTTTTACGTACGGTGCCTTGCTTTGATACCTTAAATTTGCATGTTCTTGGTTTAATTTATTTTGGAAAAATAATTATTTGTTTCTCTACAGCTTCCTGAGTGAACTTTTCAAAAATGACTGCTTTTCCTAAATTATGCAGTTCCTAAACATGGTAATCTTTGAAGCCCAAAATTGATTTATTTTGCCATTGGTAACCTTTTCCTACATTATTTCAGCCACCTGCCTTTCCTAGCGAGACACCTGAATCTATAAAGAAGTACATAGAAGAGACGTATCTCCAGCCAAGATTGGATCCTGATGAATTTTCGGCAGAAAAGGTTGGGAGGCAGTGGGAGTTTGACTGGTTTGACAGGGCTGAAGTTCCTCTCGAGCCATCACTGCCACGAACTATGGTTATTCCAGTTTGGGAACCACCATTTCGACGTTCAAACAATGGATCAGTTAAAGGAATCTGGGAACCAAAATTTGAGGAGGTGGGAGGTGCTTACATGAAATTGAAAATTCCAAATCCGTGATGGAAAGTTTGGTTAAAAATTAGAACAAATTTAGTTTAGAGTCAATATTAATTTATTTTGCCAACTTCATCGATAGTGCGTATAATGTTGTATTAGGTGGATGTATCTGATCTGAAGTTGGGAGAGACCGAATCTGGGCCATTACCACGCACTTCTGGAAAGGACTTTGTAAGGGGAAGCATTAACAATCGTCCTTTCCGTCCAGGAGGTTTGGATGATTCTAGAAGTGTAGAAAGAATTCTTCCAGAAGGTGCTTCAAATGGTGAATGGGTGCGTGAAATTTTGAATGGTGGTCCTGCTCAGACAATTCCTCCAAGCTTAAAGCAAGGGTTGGACTTTGGCGAGCTCAAGGTTATTTATTTATTTGACTTTTTATGGAAAATAATTGCTTGTTTTCTGTGCTAACTTATTCCAAGCTTGAAATTCAATATAACCCACACGTTTTACTTCATTTTTGTATCCTTTTTGAAGTCCCATCCATGCTCATGGAATGTCTGCAAGGAAACCAATCCTCTCCGGAGTTCATCAGTTGAAAAATTGGTTAGTCATTTTTCCCCATTTTGCATCCAAATTTTCAAGAGCCTTTTCAGTTTATATTATTTTAAGAGGCACTTTAGACCTTCTACTCCTTATGCTGGATGGTGCCAGTTCTTGAGAGACTGTCAATATAAGGACATGTTTTTTGAACATATTTAGAAGAAATCTTTTATATTATCTACTGTATTTTCTTAAATGATTTGCTTAAATCATGCTGGGACAGAGTGAATTGTCCGTACAGTTTGATGACTTGTTTAAGAAGGCTTGGGAAGAAGATGCTGATGGAGAACAAGAGCAAGATGGTAACTAGCTTACGCTAACTGCAGTTCTTTTTACCGACATTTGTTGTCTTAAAATTCTTGGACTGTATTATAAGTATAACCAAACAAACGAAATCATTCTGGACAATACAGACCTTTGTTAGATCAGATAGTTTTTCAGTTATTTTGTTCATGATTTGTGTTGTTTTTTAATGTCATTTGTCAGAAGTGGAGTCTGTTATATTGGAAGCTGAAGTTGGTACAGCTGAGGTGTCAAGTAAACCACATGATAGTGAAATGTCACTTGATGATATTTTGTCAGTTGACTCAGAAGGACCAGAATTGCATTTGGATGGATTTAGTGATGAAATTGAACAGATGAAGAAGGAAGTAAGTGGTTATGGGCTAAATTATCACATATTGCAGTTAAAATGACTGTTTCTTGTTATGCGTCACAATTTTGTTACGGTTTCTGGGACAATGTTTCCTCACCTAGTGGGAAAGGCTTTTGTTGTTTGTTACATGACAATCCTTAAAATAGGAATCCTGTTCTTTTGGCAGGCTTGGGCTATGCATGAGTCCAGTGATCGAATTGTAGATTGCTTTCATGAACTTGTTCCTGACATGGCACTAGAGTTTCCATTTGAACTGGACGCATTTCAGAAGGAGGTATATATTCATACTAATTTTCTTCTTGTCATCAAGGTGCAGTGATTAGCACTTATGGTTGAAACTACAAACGCATGTATGGAATAATTGTTTTACGGAATAGATGCTGTAAAAATTAAGCTAAAAAACCCATGTTTGACTGTTTTCTTAGCCTACTTTTGATCTTGGTTGAAAAGTGGAAACTGATAATTTTACCAGCATTTTTCTGCCACTATGTCTTCCTTTCACTTGTGTGAAAATATCCCCATGGATTTTGAAAGTAACCAGTTATTGAGGCCTCCAATCTATATTAATTAATGTTGTAACTTTTCAAGATTCTACCAATGAAGTTCTGGTTATGCAGTTTATTTCACATTTTCATTTTATATCTTTTCTTTAATATGACAAATAATATGTTTTTTCTACTTTCGTACTTCATACTTTCTATTTCTTGTATCTAATTTGTTCTTTTAATTAAATTCATTTGATGTATTGGCAAGTTCAAATTTAGTTCTTTTTATTCTTAGTAATTATTTCATGCTTCTGCTATTGTGTTCAGTTGGTTGTATGATGATTGGGATGTAACCTTGTTCCAAATTCTTGAGGGGAGGGGGGTGCCATGATATTTGGTTATTGGAATCATTTGTCTTGACCTTTGCACATTTGCCCAATCGAGTCAAATGCATCAGGAGGAGCTGCATTAGTCAAATTTTCAATATTTTTTGTTATAAGAAATAATTTATTGTTAAAGAAATCTATGATCATTTTATAAAATAAATCTGTATGTTGATTGTAGCTTCCAACTGAGAGAAGATATTCTTTCTCATAGTCTAAATTTTATCACTTATATTTAACTATTATATTATCTCTTTTAATTCTAGCATGAATATATGGCTTATATTTGTCTTATAATTTCATTTTTTATTCTTTCATAACAATTGTAGGCTATTTATTATCTTGAGAAGGGGGAGTCTGTTTTTGTTGCTGCTCACACATCAGCTGGAAAAACTGTAGTTGCCGAATATGCATTTGCTTTAGCATCAAAAGTATGCCCTGAATCTTTACTATTCATGAAGTTTCTTTGTTTCTTTTCTTTTGCTTCCCGGCAGCTTAATTGCATAAGTCATGAACCATATTGTTCAATACCATTTATATAACAGTGCTCTTTTTCTACTATTCTGATGATATTTTGACTTAGTCTTACAATATTGTTAAGTTTTTCCGTATTAAAATTTTACCAATCTTCACAAGACAAATGCTTTAGTTGAAGTTTCCCATTTGAAATTTAACAATGCAGCATTGCACTAGAGCAGTGTATACTGCTCCAATAAAAACAATCAGCAATCAGAAATATAGAGATTTCTGTGGAAAGTTTGATGTTGGGCTTCTTACTGGGGATGTAAGCTTGAGGCCAGAGGCTTCTTGTCTCATCATGACCACAGAAATTCTAAGATCAATGCTCTACCGGGGTGCTGATATAATTCGGGACATCGAATGGGTAAGTAGCATTCTGGTTTCTCTTCAACTATGAAAGGCTTGTCCTTGTGAATTTGTAACAACTTATAGTTTCGTTTTTCCTGCATTAATGTGGTAGGTTATATTTGATGAGGTGCACTATGTCAATGATGTAGATAGAGGAGTTGTTTGGGAAGAAGTAATTATCATGCTTCCAAGACACATCAATATAGTCCTCCTTTCTGCCACGGTATAAGTTAGTCCTTAGTTATCATACTTAAGATTTATGCAGGACATTCTGTGTAAAATGCATGTGTTCTGATACTTCCAACACTTAATATGTTTCTGTATCTCAAAGCACATGGAGCATTATAATATTGGAATGAAGGATTTAATATCAGAAAAGTAAAGAAGTTCTTTGAACATTGTAATGCTAGCCTGGGAAGTTATATATATATATATATATAATTTTTTTTTCTCTTATAAAAATATATTTGTGTTCAGATTTCTCTCCCCTCATGTTATCTCAGCAAAGCTATTTGTCATTATCCTAAAAATAAGTATTTTGCAGGTTCCTAATACTATTGAATTTGCCGATTGGATTGGCAGGACAAAACAAAAGGAAATAAGGGTTACAGGGTAAGTGATGATTCTTTCTTACAATGGTCGTCAGAGAAAGAGTAGATTTAAAGATATTCTTTAAAATATGCAAGAATACAGAAAATATATTTGTTCCTTTTCAAATTAAAGATTGTAATCAAAAGGCGGATGCTATTAGGATGTCACGTATTCTTCGATTTATGAATTCCTTCAATTTCAAATAGAGTTGTGAGTTGTATTTTGGTATTTAAAAATTAACACTATAAGACTAGAATGTACATTGAGTGCATCAAATAGGAGTTATGAGCTCTTTCGTGATTCTCAATTGTCTTATTATTTTTGCTCCTATAATGATCCTTTTTCCTACCAGAACAACAAAAAGACCTGTCCCATTGGAGCACTGCCTGTATCATTCTGGAGAACTTTACAAAATTTGTGAAAGTGAAACATTTCTGCCTCAGGGGTTGAAAGCTGCTAAAGAAGTTTCAAGAAAAAGGAATTTGACTGCTGGTGGTGCTTCAGGACCAAAGGTGGGTATTTCAGCAGGTCATGAAAATGCCAGAGGTTCAAAACGTGAAAATGTATCTCGCATGAAGCAGCATGGAGCTAATTTCTCTGGAACTGGTAGAGGCTATCAAAATAATAGCAATGGCCAGAGCAATTGGGAATTGAGGAGAGCAGATGCTTCAATGTGGTTGATGCTTATCAACAAGCTCTCCAAAAAGTCATTATTGCCTGTATGTTGATTGTGCTCTATATTAATATGTTTTCAGCAAAAATACAAAAGGAATTATCGGTAAAATTATTTACAATTGAGGAAAACCAATTGTTTAATCATTTCCAGGAGTTGTTAGTGATAACAACTTGAGGATTTGATTGCTTGTGAATTATAAATGTTTTACCAAGCTCCATTTTTTTAATTTTTTCTCTATTTTATTATTGGGTGCTATTATTTGCTGATAATAGTTGAAATATAGGAAAAACATTTCAATTTCAACAATGTTAATTCTCTCTTAATATTTAGAATATATCATTGGATTTGTTTCTCCATTTCATGGCACTCCATATTTCCTTATATTTCCTTATATTTCCCTATCTGGTTCCTTATTTAAATTGGGCTTAAATCCAGTTCTGGTCCCCATAGTTTTGCATTTTGCAATTTTAGTTTCTATAAAATTTTAATAGCACATTTGATCATCTATGTTTAAGAAAATTAAGTAATTTTAGGCCAACATAATATATCATCTCATAAATCATTTCCAAGAAAATTACTAACAATAAGTGCTAACATTTTTTCTGATATTAATGTTAAAGCTTATAATTAAACACTGCTGTTAACATTCTGTCTAAATAAGTAACTATCATTGTTATCATTGATAGACACATAGACATTTCTTAGAGAGTGGAAAATGTATTAGCAGTAGATCAAAATTGTTTAATTCTGGAAAATCGAGGACCGTGATTAAATGTCTACAGTGACCAAAATTGCACATTCATCAAATGTGCAATTTAAGTGGATTTAAGCCATTAAGTGCACTTGAAATTGCATGTTGACTTTATAATTAATAAAATAAACAGATTTCTGTTTTTTTTTTTTGTGTCTAATCTGTATATTTTAGAAAATAAGCAATTTTCAGCTTAATTTTATAAGCATATCATATTTACTTTTGTTAAACTTCAGGAAGACAGAAACATTGAGTTTAAACCGTGTGTTTATGAGACAACACAGGTGTTTTATTTGTATTAAAAAAGAGAAATCATCACAATCAATAAATGAGGATAATAAAGGAAATTTGATATCTTTTAATAACAAAGATGTGATGTAGGAATATATAAAAAATTTCTTAACAATACATACATGCATAGTCTACATATTCCTAATTATATAGGATCAACTCCTTATTTCTATAAGTATAACAGTGATTATATATGTAAAGATCAGCTCTTTATTTCTGTGATTATATCACTTTCCCTCAAGCTGGAGTGTATACGTAGTGTGTGCATATGTTGTTGCAAATATAATCAATCTTCGTCCTCCTAGTGACTTGGTGAATATGTCGGTCAACTATTCATTAAAGTAGACAAATCTAGTGGTGATGTATATAAACTCCAGTTTTTCCCTTGGGAAATGACAATTCGCCTCAATATATTTATTTGTTTCATAAAAGGAAGGGAGCCAAAGCATTATTATTCTCAATTTATTGTTACTATTTTAGATTTTATTTGTTTATTTGGAACTTGTTTTTTGAATGCAGGTGGTTATATTTTGTTTTTCTAAGAATCGCTGTGATAAATCAGCTGATAGTTTGACTAGAACTGACTTAACTAGTAGCTCAGAGAAAAGTGAGATCCGACTTTTCTGTGACAAAGCATTTTCGCGACTGAAGGGATCTGACAAATATTTACCACAGGTCAGTTGGTGTATGGCTTAGTATTTTTGTGACTGTGCTTCTCATAATGGAGATATACAGGTTGTTCGAGTACAGAATCTTCTTCGCAGAGGTATTGGTGTACATCATGCTGGCCTTCTTCCAATTGTAAAGGAAGTTGTTGAAATGCTCTTTTGCCGAGGGGTTATCAAGGTGAGATGGCCTTTTGTTTTATTGGTATTCACAGAATTATCAGATATCATAACAAACCCAGCTAATATTCAAAGATACAGTAAATTACTTTATATTTAAGAGTCATATGTCCACAATTTTCTCCCCGTGGTTGTGATTATATTATTTTAAGATTTATGTTGACTGCTTGACTTATTTTTTTTTTCTGCAGGTCTTGTTTTCAACTGAGACATTTGCAATGGGGGTCAATGCACCTGCTAGAACAGTGAGTCTCTTTTCAGCGTTGCTGCTAAAATTGAATAAACATTTCAATTTTTTCTGAAATTTTCAATGAAATCTAATTAATTATTAAAGTTATTATCTTAGGAATTTTACAAGTGACTATGAATGTGTTAAATAAAAAAGTTTGCTGTGGTTTATGTTTAGTTACTTGAGTCTCATGTTACTTTAGTATCTTTTTTATCAAACACATGTTCTTGTTGAATAATAAGTTTGTGCTCTGTACAGAGGTTATTTTAAACTTTGCTGGAACCTGAAAAATTATAAAAAAAAAAAATATTTTAGATTGGAACAAAGATATTATATTTTAATTTGACATTTAAAAAAAAGGAGAAATAAGAAATGACTCGAGCGGATTAGAGTCATTCTTTCCGAAAAAATGCAATAAGAAATTAAGCTATTCTTAGGAAAGAGTACTCGTGTTAAAGAGTAAGAAACTTGTTTAGTAACAAAAAAATGTATAATATTTATTTTTAATGACAAGTACAGTATTGGGAACTTGTAAAGCTTTACTTTTCATTGACATAGATAAGATTTAATTGGTGAAGAATTTTTATTAAAATATCATTCTTAAAGGAAACAAATTGATTATAGAAAAAAGAGCTACTTGATGCTCGATTCGTTGACTTGAAATCTCTGAAAGAATTGTCAGACTAAGAGCTTTCCTTCATCATACTATTATTGAAACACCAGGACACAGTCAATCTTGTTCCATATGAAAGGGCAGAGAAAGGCCATAACAATATTTGAATTTCATCCAAGGCATCAACTGCCCAGTACCTTTGAGTGGCAAAAACTGCCTATGCTTGCTATCTGGTATAATAGTTTATATTATATTTTGAGCAAAATCTGTTTTGTGTTGTATCTATTTGTAATGTACAATCCTAGGGGAAATTTCTCTCTTTAAGCTTTTTGCTGTAAATCCTAGGGGAAATTTCTCTCTTTCTTTTAGCTTTTGTTGTAAGCCAAATATATTTGAATCTGAATTAGTAGGGAGACATAAGATTTCTCAAGCTTTTTTCCCCACATATACTCTTTCAAATTGGTACATGACTTGGGCCTGTTGTTCTCATTATTGAATGGCTAACAAACTACTCACAAATATCTAGTCCGAAGCTTGAAATGTTTTTTCCTTGGTGAGGGGGTGTGTTGGTGGTATCATATTGGCTGAAGGCATGACCAAATAAATTATAGGATATAAGTGAGAGTAAATCCAGTCGATCTTTGTGAGATTGAATTATGTTTTCAAGACAATCTTTTGTAATTCTTAAGTGGAAGTTCTTAGTTTTGTCTCTGTAGTATTTTTCAAAGTCTTTGAAATTTGAAATTGTTCTGTTGTGAAAGGACAAATATACACAAATGCTTCTTTGAAAGTTGTGTTTGAAATGAGAAACCCCAAATAGATGGTTTATATGCTAATTCTAACATCAGTTACTTCATGGTCTGTGCTTTTTGGTACCTAAATGTACTCTTGAGCTCTCTCTCGTTTTTGTTTTTTGGATAATCGAGGTCTCTTTCATTTATTTTGCATAATTTAGGTTGATAATTATAGTTTTACATCTTTAAGGGCAAGACAAGTGCAATGGTAGGATGCTGCTTGGAATTTATGGATTCAAATCTTGGAAACAACTCTAGAATTTTGGGATTAAGGTTGTGTGCATTTGATTGGTATACGTTGCCGAGGGGATCAGTTAGTTAATTATTAGATTCAATGAGTTTGTTGTAGTTTGAAGACTGGATGATAAGAAATAAGGCATATTGCCTGTGGATAGGGGGAAGAAGGATGATAGGGGGGATTATCCTGTTAACTGCATACAGTTAGTAGGGCCTTTAGGCAACCGGAGGTGCAAACCCTGGAAGCTCTATAGTCAGGGGAATTTCTCCTTTTTCTCTCTAATAACTTGATACAGGTTCTTCTCAGCATCTAACTTCTCCATACACTTGGTGTGAACCTTGCACACTTAGTTGTCTTTTTGTTATAGTTATATACCCATCATTAGTTTGGATTTTTTTTGTTTTGATAAATAGTAATGATTGACAATTTGTGTATCTCCTTTCCTTTATTTGAAGAATATTTCCTATAACCTTCAGTTTAATGTACACTGCTTTTATATTCTTCCACAGGTAGTTTTTGATTCTCTAAGGAAGTTTGATGGCAAGGAATTTAGGCAGCTACTATCAGGAGAATATACTCAAATGGCTGGTCGTGCTGGCAGAAGAGGACTTGACAAGATTGGTACAGTTATTCTGATATGTCGTGATGAACTCCCAGAAGAGAGTGATTTANTTTCATGGCACTCCATATTTCCTTATATTTCCTTATATTTCCCTATCTGGTTCCTTATTTAAATTGGGCTTAAATCCAGTTCTGGTCCCCATAGTTTTGCATTTTGCAATTTTAGTTTCTATAAAATTTTAATAGCACATTTGATCATCTATGTTTAAGAAAATTAAGTAATTTTAGGCCAACATAATATATCATCTCATAAATCATTTCCAAGAAAATTACTAACAATAAGTGCTAACATTTTTTCTGATATTAATGTTAAAGCTTATAAATAAACACTGCTGTTAACATTCTGTCTAAATAAGTAACTATCATTGTTATCATTGATAGACACATAGACATTTCTTAGAGAGTGGAAAATGTATTAGCAGTAGATCAAAATTGTTTAATTCTGGAAAATCGAGGACCGTGATTAAATGTCTACAGTGACCAAAATTGCACATTCATCAAATGTGCAATTTAAGTGGATTTAAGCCATTAAGTGCACTTGAAATTGCATGTTGACTTTATAATTAATAAAATAAACAGATTTCTGTTTTTTTTTTTTGTGTCTAATCTGTATATTTTAGAAAATAAGCAATTTTCAGCTTAATTTTATAAGCATATCATATTTACTTTTGTTAAACTTCAGGAAGACAGAAACATTGAGTTTAAACCGTGTGTTTATGAGACAACACAGGTGTTTTATTTGTATTAAAAAAGAGAAATCATCACAATCAATAAATGAGGATAATAAAGGAAATTTGATATCTTTTAATAACAAAGATGTGATGTAGGAATATATAAAAAATTTCTTAACAATACACACATGCATAGTCTACATATTCCTAATTATATAGGATCAACTCCTTATTTCTATAAGTATAACAGTGATTATATATGTAAAGATCAGCTCTTTATTTCTGTGATTATATCACTTTCCCTCAAGCTGGAGTGTATACGTAGTGTGTGCATATGTTGTTGCAAATATAATCAATCTTCGTCCTCCTAGTGACTTGGTGAATATGTCGGGCAACTATTCATTAAAGTAGACAAATCTAGTGGTGATGTATATAAACTCCAGTTTTTCCCTTGGGAAATGACAATTCGCCTCAATATATTTATTTGTTTCATAAAAGGAAGGGAGCCAAAGCATTATTATTCTCAATTTATTGTTACTATTTTAGATTTTATTTGTTTATTTGGAACTTGTTTTTTGAATGCAGGTGGTTATATTTTGTTTTTCTAAGAATCGCTGTGATAAATCAGCTGATAGTTTGACTAGAACTGACTTAACTAGTAGCTCAGAGAAAAGTGAGATCCGACTTTTCTGTGACAAAGCATTTTCGCGACTGAAGGGATCTGACAAATATTTACCACAGGTCAGTTGGTGTATGGCTTAGTATTTTTGTGACTGTGCTTCTCATAATGGAGATATACAGGTTGTTCGAGTACAGAATCTTCTTCGCAGAGGTATTGGTGTACATCATGCTGGCCTTCTTCCAATTGTAAAGGAAGTTGTTGAAATGCTCTTTTGCCGAGGGGTTATCAAGGTGAGATGGCCTTTTGTTTTATTGGTATTCACAGAATTATCAGATATCATAACAAACCCAGCTAATATTCAAAGATACAGTAAATTACTTTATATTTAAGAGTCATATGTCCACAATTTTCTCCCCGTGGTTGTGATTATATTATTTTAAGATTTATGTTGACTGCTTGACTTATTTTTTTTTTCTGCAGGTCTTGTTTTCAACTGAGACATTTGCAATGGGGGTCAATGCACCTGCTAGAACAGTGAGTCTCTTTTCAGCGTTGCTGCTAAAATTGAATAAACATTTCAATTTTTTCTGAAATTTTCAATGAAATCTAATTAATTATTAAAGTTATTATCTTAGGAATTTTACAAGTGACTATGAATGTGTTAAATAAAAAAGTTTGCTGTGGTTTATGTTTAGTTACTTGAGTCTCATGTTACTTTAGTATCTTTTTTATCAAACACATGTTCTTGTTGAATAATAAGTTTGTGCTCTGTACAGAGGTTATTTTAAACTTTGCTGGAACCTGAAAAATTATAAAAAAAAAAAATATTTTAGATTGGAACAAAGATATTATATTTTAATTTGACATTTAAAAAAAAGGAGAAATAAGAAATGACTCGAGCGGATTAGAGTCATTCTTTCCGAAAAAATGCAATAAGAAATTAAGCTATTCTTAGGAAAGAGTACTCGTGTTAAAGAGTAAGAAACTTGTTTAGTAACAAAAAAATGTATAATATTTATTTTTAATGACAAGTACAGTATTGGGAACTTGTAAAGCTTTACTTTTCATTGACATAGATAAGATTTAATTGGTGAAGAATTTTTATTAAAATATCATTCTTAAAGGAAACAAATTGATTATAGAAAAAAGAGCTACTTGATGCTCGATTCGTTGACTTGAAATCTCTGAAAGAATTGTCAGACTAAGAGCTTTCCTTCATCATACTATTATTGAAACACCAGGACACAGTCAATCTTGTTCCATATGAAAGGGCAGAGAAAGGCCATAACAATATTTGAATTTCATCCAAGGCATCAACTGCCCAGTACCTTTGAGTGGCAAAAACTGCCTATGCTTGCTATCTGGTATAATAGTTTATATTATATTTTGAGCAAAATCTGTTTTGTGTTGTATCTATTTGTAATGTACAATCCTAGGGGAAATTTCTCTCTTTAAGCTTTTTGCTGTAAATCCTAGGGGAAATTTCTCTCTTTCTTTTAGCTTTTGTTGTAAGCCAAATATATTTGAATCTGAATTAGTAGGGAGACATAAGATTTCTCAAGCTTTTTTCCCCACATATACTCTTTCAAATTGGTACATGACTTGGGCCTGTTGTTCTCATTATTGAATGGCTAACAAACTACTCACAAATATCTAGTCCGAAGCTTGAAATGTTTTTTCCTTGGTGAGGGGGTGTGTTGGTGGTATCATATTGGCTGAAGGCATGACCAAATAAATTATAGGATATAAGTGAGAGTAAATCCAGTCGATCTTTGTGAGATTGAATTATGTTTTCAAGACAATCTTTTGTAATTCTTAAGTGGAAGTTCTTAGTTTTGTCTCTGTAGTATTTTTCAAAGTCTTTGAAATTTGAAATTGTTCTGTTGTGAAAGGACAAATATACACAAATGCTTCTTTGAAAGTTGTGTTTGAAATGAGAAACCCCAAATAGATGGTTTATATGCTAATTCTAACATCAGTTACTTCATGGTCTGTGCTTTTTGGTACCTAAATGTACTCTTGAGCTCTCTCTCGTTTTTGTTTTTTGGATAATCGAGGTCTCTTTCATTTATTTTGCATAATTTAGGTTGATAATTATAGTTTTACATCTTTAAGGGCAAGACAAGTGCAATGGTAGGATGCTGCTTGGAATTTATGGATTCAAATCTTGGAAACAACTCTAGAATTTTGGGATTAAGGTTGTGTGCATTTGATTGGTATACGTTGCCGAGGGGATCAGTTAGTTAATTATTAGATTCAATGAGTTTGTTGTAGTCTGAAGACTGGATGATAAGAAATAAGGCATATTGCCTGTGGATAGGGGGAAGAAGGATGATAGGGGGGATTATCCTGTTAACTGCATACAGTTAGTAGGGCCTTTAGGCAACCGGAGGTGCAAACCCTGGAAGCTCTATAGTCAGGGGAATTTCTCCGTTTTCTCTCTAATAACGTGATACAGGTTCTTCTCAGCATCTAACTTCTCCATACACTTGGTGTGAACCTTGCACACTTAGTTGTCTTTTTGTTATAGTTATATACCCATCATTAGTTTGGATTTTTTTTGTTTTGATAAATAGTAATGATTGACAATTTGTGTATCTCCTTTCCTTTATTTGAAGAATATTTCCTATAACCTTCAGTTTAATGTACACTGCTTTTATATTCTTCCACAGGTAGTTTTTGATTCTCTAAGGAAGTTTGATGGCAAGGAATTTAGGCAGCTACTATCAGGAGAATATACTCAAATGGCTGGTCGTGCTGGCAGAAGAGGACTTGACAAGATTGGTACAGTTATTCTGATATGTCGTGATGAACTCCCAGAAGAGAGTGATTTAAAGCGTGTTATTGTTGGAAGTGCAACCCGACTTGAATCTCAATTTCGGCTAACCTATATTATGATTCTACATCTTCTTCGGGTTGAGGAATTAAAGGTGCACATGACAATCCAAGTCTTCTATTTAAAATGTTATAATAATGGTGGTGAAGATACTATAATTAGTAGTGTCACAATAATTGATTGGATGTGCAACTTGGGGACAATTCAAATTCCTTAACAATTTGAGATAGATCCTCCTAATTTTAAATATCCAATTAGATCTGATTGGACAAACTTTCATGAATAGTTTCTCTTATTTAATGATCGATTAATACTCCTTAATTCATATTTAAGATGATAAGTTGTTGTTTCTCCGAACTTCTGAAAGCATCTTTAATCATGTATTTTTCAAAATTTGGTTGGAGACGCTTGTTAATAATAATTTCTGGAAATCTCATATTTTTCTGTGATATCTACTCATGCATTACAAGGTTAGAGGAAATAAGGAAAGAGAACTAACTCTAATTGTAACCACCTGGCCGCTGATGGAATTTGAGCTGAGGGCAGTTATGATAGTTATCTATATATCTCTATACCATTATATAGAAGGGATGCATTATTTGGTTAGGTGTCTTTTGACTGGACAATTTTACCTTTTATAACAACAAATAAAAAATAATTTGCTTATATTTAATAAAATAATTAATCAAACAACTTCCTCTATTTCAAAATTTCAAAATAACTAACATTTCAAAACTTCTCTTTTTAAAAATAATTGTTGTAATTTGAGATAATATCTTTAGAATCTTCCTAATGAGAGGAAATAGATATATAATATTTTATTTTATTTTATTTTTCTAGTTTCCTTATTTTCCTTTTTAGGAGAATTAGATTATTACAAATAGAGGGTATCAGAATGTATTTTTTATGATTGAGAATAATAAATCAGTCTTATTTTCCACAATAACTACATAATTTTTTTATCACTATTATTACAAAATTACCTATATTTTTATTTTACAATTTTATCTTTTAGTAAAAGGGGATATTTCTTTTGTAACTACCTCTAATGTCCCCCAAATGTAATAGTCTAACTTTTGCATCAAATATAATTGTCTAACTTCCCAACTTTCATAACGTTAACATACATTTTTTTTAAATCATTCTTTTAGGATTATATTCTTTTGAAAATTGTATTATTTAAATTAAAAATGTGGATACACATGCACTCTTGTGTTTCCCTTGTATAAATGATAGGGTTATGTGCACAGTATAAAATGCAGCGTATTATAGTTTGTTTTATATTATAAAATGAAGGATGACAGTTATTTGGAGAAAATAACTGCTGCTAGTTATGTATTCTGAGTATATGTCTGATATAAGATTATGTAATTGACCAGAAATACTCTGTAGTAGACTGTGTCTCTGGGACAGCAAGTGTTTGCTATATTGTGCGTGACTACAATGTTCTGTATTATATTTTATTACTTTATCAGTTGGTGTTCTATCAGGCACTTGGTAGGATTTAATGGGGAACTATTAGGGTGACATCGGGGGAGGGGATGGGTTCAGTTTTGTTTAGAGTGGGAGGTTATAGGTTCCTTAAGAATCTATGACATGTCCTTTTATCTTGTAATTTTCTGCTTCTGGCTAGTATCCAAGAGAGGGAGAGAGAGAGAGGGGGGAGTGGTGTTATGCATATACATGCATGATTCTAGCTCCTATCGTTATCCTGTCCTAAAGATCAGCTTCAATCTCTTGGTCATTAAAAACTGGAGGTCCAATATAGTATTTTAATCTGAAAATTATGTTTAGATGAATTATTATGAGGCAGTTGGTTATAAGCTCTGATTATGGAGCAAAATGGAAAACTGACAGTCAAAATTACTTGGAATGAATGTGCAATTTCAGCCTCATCTATCACAAATGTTAGAAGTAGTTTCATTTTATGTTGGTGTTGAATATAGTGAAAAACTATATTTGGATTAATCT